GCTTTTAATATATTGCAATGTGTGATGTGACACCCACTCTTTATAGGTCCCTGACGAACCAAGAAATCTATAAAACACCCTTTGTCTATAACAGTCCTTGATATATCACAAGCTCTGATATAACATAGTCACACCCATGCTTTATATATCGCTCACTAATAGAGGGGTAAAACAGCCACTTCCGATAATTTTCAGGTATTTCATGACGCACCATATCCCACCTATTGTTTATGGGTCCCTTACTAACAGAGAAACCCATAAAACACGGTCTCTCTATAACACTCTGATATACCATGACCCCTCATATAACACTCATTATTTATGGCTCTCTCATTAACCCCTTTACTGTGTGAGAAGAGCATGCACATTACATTTGTTAATAAGAAAATGAATTGTGACCAGGGACTCAGCAGAAAAGAGATTAATAGAGGAACACCTGTCCCTAATATGCACCTCTTTTAACACTGTCTGATATAATGCACATCACTTGAAGCTCTCTATAGTAAAACATATAAAATGCCTGTTCTTGTCATGTCCTTCCTATAATATTTTTGGATGGCTCTCAATTACAGCCTTAAGTCCGAAGTATTGCACCAGGAGATTTTTTTCCCCTAAAAACCTGAATCATTTGAAACAAAGCATGTTGGAAATTTTCAAAAAAAATGAGGCCGCACAATTTTATGGAACAAATATCTCCTGTAGGCATGTAGTCTGGTCAATGTAAGCTGGTAGTTAGACTCCACGGTCAAATTTTTACAAAAGTGATTGTTCAACTGAAGTTCAAGTGAGGAATAGGTTGGAGATATTGTGCAGTGAAGGGGTCGAGGGGAGAGAGAACAGGACATCCAGTTATTAATATTAAAAGAAGCTGGAACTAATTTATTTTCATGGAAACTAAATATTTTCTCTCTCTCCTTCCTTTGTATTAAGCTTGCCCACCACTTAGTTGTAACAAAGAGAAATGAGAGAAACTCTTTTGCTAATCTCTGAAAATTGACCTGTGAGTTTGTGACAGTTTTTGCTGATCTGTGTCTGATTATAGATTCATTTCACTCTTGTGGAAAGGTAGAATTCAAATCCACATGTAGGGATAGAGGTACAGATTGAAATCTTGGTTAATGCCACTCAGAATACATTTGCGAAACATCAGAATCTGCAATACAAAATTACAAAATAGGAAAAATGTGGCATGTGCATTTTCCCTCTATATTGAGCCATAACTGTCCATTATAATGCAATGCAACACGATAGATAGGGCCCACGTCCATTCATTGCTTTACAGAGCCATAGGATACAGTACTGCCTTGAATCTTCACATTTCCATTGGCAGACTGGAGAAGAACGAGGCATTATTAGATTAGTTGATTGACTTCCTAGTTCTATATTTTTGTCATGTTCAAAGGACTATCATTCCTATTATTGAATGTTTTTTGGTAACAGACTAATTTGTAGATCATTTGTTTTTTTTACTCTTTATAACTTAAGTATAGTGATCTGCTAGGGTTTGGTAAATCTATTGACCATTAATAAAATGGTGGTGCCATGAGTGTCTGGGTGGGACTTGTATCACGTTGTACAGCCTCCAGACACCTTGTACTCTGCTGCACAGAAATCGCAGGGTGGCTTATTTTGAATGCATGAAAATGACAGGAAAGTTAACGATATTGATCATTGGAAACGCAATACTGCAGTATCATTGTGCAAGTAAAGTCGCCTCAGTAGTTTGATGAACACAAGAAGAACCTGGAACCTCCTTGTAATCGAGCCACTTTCCCTCCCACTCATGTGGCATTTTATCAATTCAGTCTTATGGAGCGCACCATGCTAAAGAAAATACAATGAAACAAGAATGATTGCAGGCATTCCTGTTCATCAATATCCAGCCAATGAGTCATAAATTAGGATACATGGTGGGGAAACCGTTCCAATTTATTATTTAAAAAATCTATCTTTGATTCAACTGGTTATCCACTAAATATCTTTGGTATTCAATTACATATCTCTTCCCCCATTTCACAGAGTTTAAAGGTGGCCAATAATTTCCTCAGAAAAGAAGAGGTAGATCTTTTTCTTTACTTCAAAGTGTTTCGAGTGCTGTTTTGAGGAAAGGATGACCAACATCTCAAGGGTTAAATAAGCCCTTTAGTGTTTCTAATTGGTTTAACTTTGATGTATTTTGCGCAAAGTATTGTTGACATAATTAGACAAAATGTCTAACAGGCTTTCACAGATGTTTGAGAAATCCAAATTCTGAAAAGGAACACAATCTGTCCCTCTGTTTTTTGTTGGATTAATTGTTGGAAGAGTTTTAGCATCACCTCCCAGGCAGCACAGAACCTACTTTTTGTTTCCATATCCAGCAATACAGTGCTTTGGGTTTCACAACAACTCCATAGAAAAGGAGATAATCTGCCTTAACTATTTGTTCCACTTTGTACCTTTTCTCTCTTTTTTTGTCTATCCGTTAGCCTCCTTTTGTCTTCTTTGGTTCGTCACTGGCAGATTGTAAACCCCTTGCTCTCTGATAAGTATGTGAATTCAGGATTTTGTTTCCTTAAATCCAGCAAACTAGATTATAAGAAAGAAATCCTAAGTCATCTGCATTAGGAACGTGATCGGATCCTAGAATCACAATTGGGGGCGGGGGTGGGGGGCAAGGAATTCCAAATCCACTTTGTATCCACATCCTCCCCTCCTCTCTGCTCCAGTAGCACTCTCTGTTTCCATAATACATTTATCACATTAATCTTGCTTTATATTAGAAGCTTCTCGCCATTGCTCTCGTTTGTGTCCTGCTTACTCCTTTCAAACCAAAAAATGTCCTGGAGGGGCTTAGCACCGCATGTCTTCAAGAGACACCTTCAATGCTCATTTCAAGGCATCCGGCCATCTGCCAAATGAAGGTGGATTTAATCTTGTAAAATTAAATTTTGCTCTGCTGACATACTCTTAGGCGTCTGCAGCTGAGCACTGCGGACAAACTGAACATGACAGGAGCATTGTTTTTTGTCACATCTACTGTGTTGATCTTTTCAAAGTCTCATAAAAATTTATTGATGTCCCTGTTTGCAGCCTGGGATATTAGTGTCTGCAGCATAGATATGATTTGATCTGTCTTCCCTTATTGGCGCCCAGTGCTTAGCAATGCTTTTCAATACTTGCTGTCTTGTAATCAGTCATTCCCAAAGTTGTGAGACAGATGCACTTCAGGTCTGGCCTTTATATATAGTAAGTCGGTTTCCCCCCGAGGCTCTTGGCTTCAGTGCTATAAGTATGCAATTTTTGTACAATACATTCTCAACTACATGCACGTTATACCTCCCATCTTTCAGCAGTTAAGTGCTATACTGAGGAAGGGAGGGTAAAACTGTGACAAATCTGATCTGACAAAAAAAATCATTATTTCTTTGTGCACTGTTTTCGTTTGCAAAAGAAAAATGTACATCTGTCATTCTGTAATTACTTTAATAAAAAATTTATTTCCAACTCATTTTCTGAAGCCGTATAATTGTTTCAAATTGAACTTGTCTAAAAGGAGAAATTTTATAAGAGATTAAATTGAAACTTTGATCATTTCAATGTATAATTGAAGAGTTTCACTTAAGTGTAATTAATAAGAAAATTCTGCCTGACTGGTTGAGAAATTAATAGATTCTATGAGTTAGTCATTTTTTTATATGGAGAAAACGCATTAAAAAATGTACCTCAGAACTGTTCCAAAAACGTTTTGTCACAAAGTATGACAAATCTCTCTTATATTGTCATTATCAATCTACCACAAAATATACAGTCAATTCACTTTACAGTATACTCTGTGAAGCGCTTTGAGACGTCTTGAAGATGTGATAAGGTGCTATATCTAATGCAAGGATTATTATTATTATTACCAGTAATTTGCCACCATTTACTTGACAGAGTGATTCTTGGCTTAGTGTTTTGCTGTGTGAAACTCTCCTTAGCTCTGCACATGAAACTTTGTTCACAAATCCCTTGCTCCAAAGCTGGTATCTTCTTCCCACTACCCCTCCAAATGTCACCTTCCTCTGCGAAGATGAGGGAGAAAATGTCCTCTTCGTGGCATGTACAGTCATTTTGATAACGTGAGGTTATGATGGACGAAATAGCTACAATTAGCGAAATGAGCAATTTCAATTTTCAGATCCTTTCTGGGGAATATCTTCAAAGTACTGGTGACAGCAAGCCCATCACAGTTATACTCCTGTAATAATTACTTTGTCTTTCCTTCCACGAGAGCCTAGTGGAGCACATCAGGGCATGGGTGCACCAGATACCATGGGATTCACACCTGTAATTCCTCAATCCTTGAGTTCCAGATTGTAGTCATACCTTTGGGGGAGGCACGGAGCAGAGGTTAGGAGCTTCGGGGAAGGAGGGTTGATAAGAGAGAAATGTTGACCCTTGGGCATGCGTGTGAATCTTATGGCAGTCTGGCACAGAGACTGAGATTGCCAGCAGTCTGGGAGAGGGTTTTACTGCAAGTTCCATTGACTGTGAGGCACAGGGAGACCTAGAGAGGGAAATAGTGCAAGATTTCAATTTGTGTTACAAATGAAGAGTCTCTTTCAATTCATGATTTTTAGCTAAAAACAAAACCTGAAAAACATAACAAATTAACTCTTCAAGCACACTTGTACTGGAATATAACAGTTTTAAATTACATTTTAAATTGTTCCCACCATACTTTTGTACTTTTTTCTCAAAATGTAAGCCTCCATCCCTCTGATCCCCTCTCCCAGACCCCTCTATTTCCTTCCTTTCATATACGCATTGAGTTTCGAATGCACTGATGCTTTGTGCTTCGGACAAGGCTTCTGGCAGTGAGTTCTGCATTCTCACTACCCTTCGTGCAAAGAATGTCCAAATTGGTCCGAATCCATAAAGGGATAAACTATTATCTTTTTTTATGCAGAAAGTTACTACAGGTAGGACTGAAGCCACAATTATTAAAATGAATAATTATTTCCTGTTTTTCTCAACAGTAAACATTCCACATTAAAGGACAACATCATCCAGGGAACAGTAAAGGTAAGTGAGTCTGTGGCTGAGTGTTAAGCATTAAAGAAGTGAGTTGAGGATGTAGACATTTGTGGAATTGGGGGTCATATGAGAGAAAAGGCAAAGGAAAACAAGCAGGAACGTAAGGAAGGAAAAAAGAAATAAGCAAAAGTGCCAAGGAAATAACAGAGGTACAAAAAACAAAGTTACATTTGAATAAGAAAATGTAAAAAGATGCAGTCATGAAAGGATGCAATAAAAAGCAAAGCAAGAGAGAAATGGAGAGGTTGAGCAACAGAGTCTGTGTAACTGGCATAAGAAGGGTCTAATCACTGGAGCGTCTCATTTCAAGTTAAGTTAGAATTAAGTCTTTTCTAAACAAGCATTCTTCAAGGACTTTCGGCTGCCTTCAGAAGGGGATTAAAGAGCAGAAAATATTGCAGAGGCCCGCCAATCCTGGGTACGAATAAGCCGTTAAAGGCTGAAGCATGAGATGACTAACTTTTGGCAGCCACTGTGGAGTTTTATTGCAAACAAAGACCTTGTTCCTGAAGTTGTTGATGCTGTAAGAATATTAATGTCAAGGACCTTTAAAAGCAGAATTTACAGGATCTCTTTCTGTTTTTTTTCATTGTGGCTCTCTCTCACTTCTAATACCTTCTTTTATGTGTCAGACACAATTCGATGTGGATAAATGGTGTTAATAAAAACATTTACAGTTTGTTATTTTTTCATTAAAACATAAATCTCTTTAAGATTTTAAGCATTTTGAATTACAACAAAAAAATCTGCTCTGCTGTGTGATGATGGGAATTTATATAATAATTCTTGCATTTGATACAGCGCCTTATATTGTCGAGACGTCTCAAAAGCGCTTCACAGGATATACTGGTACTATAAAGTGGATTGACTGTGTATTTTGTGGGTGAACTTTATAGATAGACACATTGGCTAAAGCCTTTCATAGTACATTTTGGTCTTGTATATTTTCCTAATAATTGGAACAATATTGATCTATCTTAGCATTGCATTCTTTGACAGACAGAGCTTGAATATTTTACATCCTAACATTACCCTATATATCTTCTTATACATACCTTAGTGGAACCACATTCTGATGGGTATCAATTCCATCAACAAAACTATCCCCTCTCAGACAGCTACCTAATTTCGCAAGCATCTCAAAACTCTAAATCTGCAAACAATTCAAGGTGAAAGTTCTCACTTTAAAGGAGTTTCTTCAGGGCAGATCAGGATAAGAGTTATTAAAACAGTCATTTCATTTGTGGGATTTGGGTTTGAATGTCTCCTGGACTATTAATAATCATAATAATCCTTGTATTTGATGTAGCGCCTTATCGCATCTTCAAAAGTATCCCTTTGTATCATGATTAAGAAACGTGAACATTATTTCAGGTCACTTGCACATAGATACGAGCCCATAAGCAAAAATCTGTACCGAATTCATCACTTATTGGCATCAAGTGAGTAACTGAGAAGATCACAAGTACAGGTAGCCTGGGGAATGGTCACATAGGTGGAGAAAGAGGTCGGGTTTAACAATTTCTTGGGATAGGGTTTTCACTGACATTGACCCTGTGCTGTACTTTATCTTGAGATTTCAAAATGGGAACCATATTTGATTCCTCTATTGTTTCTGCACCATTTATCTCCATGGTTTTATGAAGTAATTAGTGGTTGATAAATTAGTGCCAATTAGTTCGCATTTACAGAAATTTGTGTGCTTTGGATTTGCTCAAAGAGCTTTTTCATCTCAGTGATCTGATCAGGATTTGAATCCACATTCTTAAAGTGAAAGGACGATTGTTAAAAGCCTACAACGACTATCAGTGCCTCAAGATGTGCAGTTAAATTCTCATAAACAGGGCTGGTTTGCTCAGAAATGTTATGCTTGAATCAGGATTTTTACAAACTGTAATAAAAGGAATCAATTTGCAGGCAAATCTTTGTCACACAGTCCGTTTAATCATTCATGGAGCAATTCTCACGCTGCACAAATTGCTTAGCAAAGAAAAATATATTATCAAAAAAAAGGATTAGACTCTTGAGAACATGGAACTGGCTCTAACTAGAAACAATACACTGCTGAGCTGCATGTTGTTTGCTGAGTGAAATGTTGATCAGTTTTATTTCAGGATCAGAGTTTATTTTAAAACCTCCCCATCCACAAATATATCTTTTTCACCTGTTGCGCTGGTATTCAACTGGTATTTAAGTTTCAGTGTAACAATATGATTGAGCTCTATTTAGCTCTTACACCTGCTATTAATATATATGCAAAGGAAGATAAATCATGAGCTCGGGCGAATGAAACATTGGGGTGATAAGGACACCTGTAATTCCTCTTTACATAAGGAGAGCACTGCTCACAGCTCTTTTTCCAAATGGTTCGTACATCCGGCAAATTTGACCCTAAAACAGCAAACGAAAATCTAAAGTTTAAGCAAGATTATGTAAAACGAGTGATCTTCTCCTGTACCATGCACCTTTAAGTAGGATCCTAAATTCTGGGTTCACACCTCTTCTCCCCAGTTTTGTTTCAACCCACCCCCCTTTTGTTTCACACCACTATTACCTCTTTAACCCATCAACTAACACATTCTCTCCTTTGTCTTCTCTTTTTTGTCTTCTTTGTCTTCCTTGTCCTGCTTCCCCCTCTCAACTTGTCCGTAAAAGCCTCTCCCTCCCAACATACCCCAGTTCTTACGAAGGGTCGTGGACCCGAAACGCTGATTCACTTTCCTTTCTCCATAGATGCTGCCTGACCTGTTGCGTTTTCCCAGCTCTCTCTGTTTTTGTTTCAGATTTCCAGCATCTGCAATATTTTGTGTTTTGTTCCTAAGCCTGTGTACTGGCCAGATCTGCTAAAGTGGGAGATATACATATGTTTGAAAGAATTTGGAGTTCATCTACAAATACACAATCACTACACTTTAGAATATATCCTCTGAAGTGATTTGAGACATCCACCTGATGTGAGAGGTACTATATCAAATGCAAGCATTAGATTTTTTTAAAATTACTAAATTCTTTCTTTGAGGTTAATTTGCGCTGTTGATTCTTGCACACTGGGAAGATGACTTACAAAATATTCAGTCACTACACTTTACAGTATATCCCATGAAGTATTTTGAGGTGTCTCGGAGATGCGATAAGGTCCTATTATCAAATGCAAGGATTATTATTTATTATTATTACATCTAACATTTTGCATCTTAGCAGATATTGGATGTAAATTTTAAGAATTTGGAATGTGTAATGGTAATATCGACTCCTTTTGGTAACTCGAAATTCTGCTCCCGTATAGCAGCAATCGTTGCATGATCAGCGTAGTGTATGTCCAGCTTCTGGGAGGAAATGTTATTTGGGACTCAAAGTTGTTATTAAGAATCCCTGTGGGAATTTTTCCACTGAAAGGAAGTGATCCTTAAGCCTCTGTACACTTTTGATCTAAAGTTCCAGGGATGACAGTATTAACACTAAGCTACTCCATTCCAAAAATATTAATATATATCTATTTGATACTTAACTTAAGCAATATTTTTTAATATTGCAAATGTAATTCAAACTATGTGGGAATCTAACGTCGATGAAGGAGTGAGTTTCTCTTCGGAGGTAGGGATTTGTGGTACGCTGCTAGGACCACGTAGAAAGAGCCTTGCATTGTGTCTATTCAATAATGCGCTGAAGTCATTGGCAGCAGGATTTTTCAACGAAAAAATTTAAAACATAATTAAATCCAGTTGTGGAGACTTTGATTTGAGTTTGGCTGATTGGGGGACAGACGTGCTTGACCGGGGATGCTCTCTGGAGACAAAGAAACTGAAGGAAGGAACAAGCAGGGAGTAAAGCTGAGATTTTTTTAAAAAAAAATTATTTCACTGACAGCCCAGCGGGATACAAAGAAAAAAAGAATGAGAAAGAAAGGCTTGTACATTTCGTCTCCCAACTGTCTGTAAATGAGGGGATAGCACTTAATAGTCTCAAATGGCTGCCTTAAAGGGAATTCAGTTAACAAAATGTCAGAGGGAAATGCACTTCCATTCACTTTATGACACATGATCCTGCGTGTAGGGAAACAATATTTACAGTGTGCTAGCAATTTTCAATTCATTTTGGAGATGTAGGACGAAGATTAATTTGCAGGATAGAAAATAGCAGCGAAAGAGGTCTAATGCTTCTCTCTGAAAAAGAGCTGTCTTGGAGTCAGAGGTGTTGGAGCCACCAGGCTTGCAAAGATTAATTGCCATACTGCCATTAAACCTAAAATTAGCTGGTGGGGGAACATCATGTAAAAGGTTGAAAAGCCATGAATTATTATTTTTAAGCTCTTACCTTTTGAAGATACTTTTCCCTCCTGCAAATGTCACTTCTGCTGAGCTAGCTGATTGTGTAAAAGTTATGTTTTTTAATCATGCTGGGCAAATTATTTTTTTGATTAATTTTTCCTCCCTTTTATCGTTTTTCTTCGTCTCTCAGCACAAGTACTGACCTACACTCCATCTCAAGCAGAGAGTGAGTGAGCGTGGGGAGGGGGGGGGGAGGGGGAGGACAGGTGGATGGTTCACACTTACCCCTCTCCGTGATTTCTCCCATCTCCATAGGCTTCATGTTTGAGACGGTAGAAATATATAAAATATATTGAAGATCCCACTGCAGAGATAGTTTGTCCTTTACCCTCAGACACGGCAGGATTACTGCCAGCATTTTATCACGTTGCTTTTATCACCTTCCTTCCTTTCACATGTAAATACTGAAACGAATGATTCTGCAAATGACCTTTGATTTAAGTTACACAACATTGGATTTTTGCATCTGTGTTCTTGTTTCTGTGGGTAGGTGACGGAGGGGAGAGGGAGAGAAGGGGGTGGGGGGGGAGAGGGGGGTGGGGGGAGAGGGAGAGAGGGGCGCGGGGGGAGTCTGTTGCTATTGGGTGGAACAGGTGGCTATCACTCCGTTACAAAAAGGAGAAACTCATTTGGACTCAGTGCCACTCGGTAATCGAACATGTGATGCAATTGGGAGAAAAACCCTCAACTAACCTGAGATCCCAATAGTTCTTTCCTACTTTCTGTGTGGATCACTAAAACACTTGATTCTCCAGCAATAATAATAATCCTTGCATTTGATATAGCGCCTTATCATGTCTTTGAAACGTCTCAAAGCGTTTCACAGAAAACACTTCAAAGTGAATTGACTGTATATATTGTGGACGGAACTAAACTAAAAAGGTAATAATAATGCAGTGTGTGAGGGCAAATTACAGATTCTATCTGCAGTGGGATTTTCAATATATTTTATGTATTAAACTAAAGGATGACCAGCGTTCCAATTAGACACTAAAGACAGGATCTAAATTTGAGATCGAGTCAATATAATATTTTGAAAAGTGAGTGTAGTACTGTATCAATGTCTTTCCATTAAATGGTGTGAGCACATTCACTAAATACCATATTAATTGATAAAGTTTGCTAAAACTATCTCAGTACTGATTTATGAGAAGGTAGAGTGTATAACAAGAATAGGCCATTCACCCAGTCAGCCCTTATGTGAACCATGTATAACGGACCACTATAACATAAACTCTTGCAAAGTTTCTTGAGGAAAATATTCTTTGAACTCTGCTCCACATCTCCACTAATGCAGTCCCGTGTCAGAATTCCTCTCTGGCCCAGCAGAACAGGACTATTACATCCCATGGGATATTTGTTCATCTCAATGTTGAGACTTTTCCGCGTATGCAGAAATCTATGGGAAAATACATTTGTCTTATGGCTTGCTAGTTTTAAAATCTATATCCTCTAGTGCGTGGTCACATACAAGTCAAATAACCCAATTAAATCCACATCCCATTGTCATTGCATCAACTATTTTTCCAATTGGTCTTTTTCAGTTCAGTATTAGAATCTTGGAAGATTGGATTGAAAGAATCTTAGATCAGAACCTCAGATTGAACAGTGCTTATCATGCTCTTTAGTTATATTACCTGTCATCCATATATTCAAACCAAAACAACTGGCAACTCCGAATCTTTGTGTTCGTGAAAAACGGAGCATGCTGTACAGGTTTGGATGACAGATGGTGCTTTATTTCTGTGCTGCAATTCCAAATAACAATATTTATTGTTAAAAAATAATAAAACGCTGGAATTGTAACTGCTGGGCTGATTCCTTTTTGTCATCACCAAGCAATCAATTATTCATCCAGACAACCCAATAACTAGTTGGCATTAAAGGATCTATTATTTGTGACATTCCTATAATACACCACAGCTGCAGGAGGACAGTATTATTCTGTATCAATGGTTCTGCGTTTCCTCTTAAGCATGCAAGGGAGGTGTTTTGAAGTGAGCAGCTTCACAGTATTTAGGGATACTTTATTAAACTGAACTGCTAGCCATATGCAGACGAGAGCTTGAGATTGACATGTTTGGGATTAGTTCAGCCCTACATTTTTCAGAGGTCGTCTCCATGGATCTCAGGGGCTGTGAAATAAATGGGTCTTGCTTTAGCAGCGAGCCAAAAGTATGAAACCAATACATAACATTTAATTCTACTGTCTGCTTAGCGAGAACACCGATTATTCAGTTATTTGATTAATACTGGAATAAGCTTCTACTTGACGAAAACTATTGTGGTCTATTAATCATTTGACCTCTATTTTGAATAAGAGGTTTTAGAAGGGGGGAAAAAAACTAAATTACATCTCAAGATACTGTATTGATACATTCTGCACCTCAGCTCAGCTCCGGAACTGATGAAGAAGGAAATATTCATCCCAATATGAGTTGAACCATCGGGCCTGATGTTTTTTCAATAAAAGTGTTTAGATGTGACTTTTTTCCCCTCTGAATACACGCAAGGAAATGCTACAAGCATAGCGCACGTGCAAATGCTAACGGAATTGGCAATATCAACACAGGAATTTACATTAATTGACCCAAGGGCTAATGATAGGAATAATTTACAATCAATAAGCCTGCCTTGCCCAGTCTGGGTCTACACAGAAACGTGCCTTGGATTGTCACCACGTGACCTCGGAAAGAATGTGGCCATCAGGACTTAGAATTATTTGATTTTTTTTTAGCTATACCTTTTTTTCCTGCTACGGGTGCAATTAAATAAAATCATATCAAAACTGACCAGTCACTCTAATTGCATTTAACTCCTGCAGTGTTAATGTTTCAATGATAAAGATGTTCCTGACATCTAAGTAACTTTATTACTGTAATATTCTGGTTTGCTTCAATATCTCTGTGTGAAACATAAATAAATGGCTGGGAATTCCAGCAGACTTTTAAGAATTCAATTTACATTGCAACAGAATTGTATAATGTGGGTTCACATCCTCGATTCCTCGCAGGTGCCAAATGTCCAATCTCTGTTGTACCATGTGGTAGGTCGAGGGAGGGAATATCAAACAATACAGATGAGCTAGTGGTCCATTACAGAGAGCCTAACACAAATGTAGGTTATAATGTTATTGCAACTTGTAACCAAAGTATGTTTAAATTATATGATAATGCATTAGTTTCTAACCACAGTACTGGATAGACTTCACATGAAAGCATCAAGAAGGGTCACAAACATACTGAATTGTGACCGCTTTCTCATTGAGAAAGAGGAGCAAAAAGCGCCCAAATGAATGTTTTGAATCAGTCAGATGTTATGTTCCTGCGTGGTGTGGCACGTTGCTAAAATTCTTTGTGTCCCTGGGAGGCACGTTATCACCTTTGTGTCGGAAGTGCTTTCATGATATGAACTGTGATCCGCTCACAATATTCCAGTGGCTCGCGTGAATTTCATTTCATTTCCGATAGTGCTGGGCATCATGTCGGGATATTTTTCATGCACGTTTCTTTTGTTTCTTCTCTTCACAGTCCGTTCTGTTATCAGCACCAATCAAGAGGGAAGGAGAATCTCCCACAGCGTCACCACTCTCTACCGATGACAGTCACCATTCAGACAGATACCAGGTGGGAAAGGGGATGAACAGCATTCACTGGCTATTAAACTGAATGCAAAGTAACCTCTGTACATTTGCTTTTTTTTGCCCCTTTAAATGTAGGCGGATTACCACCGTTATGTGACCTTTTAAACAGTGAGTCTCGAGTTCCATTGGAATAGCAGATTTTACCACCAGGATGGTATTTAGAGTAATGTAATTTGCAGATTCAGCCACAAATCTATATAGTCTCCAATTTATCACTCAACCGTGCAGTCAGGCACTCCTGAAGTGGGAACACTTCTTATCTCTGGTGTTAAGTGATTGGTTTGTTACTAGATATCAGGAGCACCAGCACCAATCTCGGTGTCCCAGGAACTTTCACGTAAAACAGTATGATTTTTAAAAATGTATATATTTCATAGATTGCTAGGATAAGATAACAGTCTGTAAACAGGAATGTTGTGCTTGTTGGAATCTCATTGTTAGGTTTAGTTTCCGCCTTGATCTTTATGAGCTGCTGGTAATAGTAACTATTATCACAAAAGTGTCTGAGAAAAGGGAGGTGTCTTTACTCTGCGGAAACAAAAGTTGGATCAGGAAGAGGGCAGTGGTTGGTTGGTGCCTCACTGTGCTGTGCCATGAAACAGATTTGTGTCCTTGTTTCCCCATTCCCATTCAAATTCCAAATTTTGGATATGGCGCCTTGTCGGGAAGGGGAGCCAAATGGACTTAGTCACAGGAAGAGGGAGGAACAATTATAACTGTTAGAAAATACTCCCTGAGCTGCACTGAGGCACCTTCTAGTGATCAACCTGACAGCAATATTCAGAGGTCTGCAAAAATGTTACTTAACTTCTCTTGTAAAGCATAACATTGAAAAAAAATTAATCTAAAATGCAAGAGTGGGGAAACAGAGGTTGATCTGATTTTGGCTAATAAGTCTGTGGCCTATCTATCATTTGATAGGCTGCAATGTACAAACACACATTCACTACATCTTATAGTAAATCCTTTGAAGCACTTTGAGATGTTCGATGACGTGATAAGGTTTTGGACACTTTATCAAATACATTGATTAATATACAATACACATCTTGTGATTTTCACATAACTGACGCGATCTGGCTCAGGCTTCAGCATATCGAGGCTATATATGTTATATATATATATATATGTTATATATGTTAGCTATTTCAAGACACCATCTTTGTATTTATTTTTCATGCAAGAAAGTACATATTTTATAGTCTAATGATGAATATTCTCTCAATTCTCCGTGTTGTAGCACACAGCAAGTTACTGGAGTTTAGCATATGAGATAAGTGATACATTATAGTGACAGGTACAATATGTCACACACCACACTGACAAAGGAAAAGGCTGATGTGTACATCCTAATTGGTGTTTGAGTATCTCAACAAATGAATTATCGGATCCACACTACTTCTAATTATAAATAGTTTGGATAATTGACGTTCTCCTGCAGTTGATGAAAATGTGTTAGTTATTGTGTTGTGCAAACATTAACCTCTTATGTGCAGAAAAATCACTTTGCCTAAAGGTCTTCTCTTCACGAAGAACCGTAGCTGCCCCATCCAACTCTGGCCTCTTGCTTTTGTACACATTGACAATTTTTTCTTTCAAGCCTTGTTCCTCATTATACTTCAGGACTGTGTAAGCTGGGTTTTGAAATCTACCCCCATTGAGGACCTGGTGTTGTATTATTGCCAATGGATATTCTTTCTGTTACCGCTGATTACCAACACTGTGAAGTTTAGGTATCATTAGGAATGTCACCATAGCAGTGACAGTAATTTATATTAAGAGCATAATGTGATAAATAGCTACCAACCAGCATACTGCAAAACACTGCAGCAACAACAACAACAAGATTCCATTTATAAAGTGCCTTTCACGTCAGGACGACGTCCCAAGGCGCTGCACAGTTGGGTCATGACCCGAGCAGGGGGGAAATGGTCAGGGTGAGGGGAGGGAAGGGAGGGAGCGAGGAGGGGGGGGAAATGGTCAGGGTGAGGGGAGGGAAGGGAGGGAGCGAGGAGGGGGGAAATGGTCGGGTGAGGGGAGGAAAGGGAGGGAGCAAGGAGGGGGGAAATGGTCAGGGTGAGGGGAGGGAAGGGAGGGAGCGAGGAGGGGGAAGAGAGTCGAGAGGGGAGCTGAAGGCTCGGGTCAAAGAGAAAGGTTTTGAGACCGGCCTTGAAGCAGGAAAGGGAGGAGGCGGCGAAGGCACTGGGGATAGAGTTCCAGAGCCTGGGGCTGAGAGGCTGAAGGCCCGACCACTGATGGTAGGGCGGTTGGGGCGGGGGACGTGGAGCAGACCGGAGCCGGAGGAACGGAGGGTACGGGCAGATAAGTAGGGGGATAGTAGGTCGGAGAGGTAGGAGGGAGCGAGGCCGTGAATGGCCTTGTCGGTGAGGATGAGGATCTTGAATTCGATCCTCTGGGGGATGGGGAGCCAGTGGAGGCGAGCGAGGGCGAGGGTAGGAGTGATGTGGTCCCGAAGCCTGGTGCGGGACAGTACACGAGCTGCAGAGTTCTGAATGACCTGCAGTGTGGAGGGAGGGCCGGGAAGGCCGACGAGGAGAGAGTTCCCATAGTCCGGCCTTGAGGTGACAAAGGCGTGAACCAGGGTTTCAGCCGCGTGAGGGGTGAGGTAGTGCCGTAGTCTGGCGATGTTCCGGAGGTGATGGAAGGCAGTGCCAGTTGTGGTGCGGATGTGAGGGAGAAAGGACATCATCTTTAGATGGAGCTGTTATTCTTCAGGTGCTAAGTCACTGTAAGCAGCAATGTCCTTGGTTTTACACTAAGCACTCTTTGTCCCTGTTAGTAATGTCTGATGAAAACTGGTAAGAATATATATTATATATGATACATTAAAACGCATTACTATGTGAAGTTCAGAAAAGCTTTAAAACTTGTTCGAGTGCTGTGTGACAGTCGAGTTAGTGTCTTGTAACTTTCTCACAGATCTGTTTTTCAATATGTAAAAAGAAATGATATTTGTATGTTTGTTAAACATTGATGTTTGTAACCATTATTGTCTTCTAACCAATATTATCCCCAAAACTACCTGTTTTTTAAGCAAATTCAAAGGCATGTTGCTACTTTAAGGCAGGTCCAGTATGAATAGCAGTCATTTTGGAAACTCTGTTTGCCCCAGCACCATGTTAACTGCTGGGGTTCGGGTGTGGAGAGTGGGGTTTGCTGTGCAAATCGTTGCCGCAGTGTAAACTTTTACAGTGTACTTTTATTATGTTACTCTGAAAACGATTGCAAACAACCCGGTCACTTTTCGGGACCAAGTAAACCCGAGGACAAGTGACAATCTCACCCCACCCCAGCCCACAGGAGCTGACGTAGTACTCGTGTTTTTTTAAAAAAATACTTTGTTTTTGGTACACGTCGAGGCTAAAATTATTTCAGCACAAAACGTACTATTAACAATAGTACTGTTTAAACTAATTGATGAACGGCCGAAAACACACTCGGTGTTTAAAATTGACTTTTTATTAAAAAGTAATCATTTTGAGACGCCCGTTTTCAACCAAATCCGAGGATTGCTATCAATAATAATAATACGACGACGATGATGATTACTATGGATAAAACCCGCCGTTACCATCCGCCCTGCGACGATTATTAACAATACTGGGATTATTGCCGCGATGGTTAATACGAGTATCGCGATGATTATTAATGCGACGACTGTGATCATTATTAATAATATCATTAATGCCGTCATTAATAACGTGACGGTGACGATGATAATTAAAAGAGTGAGTGAGTGAGTGAGTGAGTGAGTGAGTGAGTGAGTGAGTGAGTGAGTGAGTGAGTGAGACGTCGCACAGTGTGTGGGGTTTGTAACGCGGGGTTGTGGGGGGGTGCGGGGGGTTGTGGGGGGGGGGTGCGGGGGGGTTGTGGGGGGGGTTGTGGGGGGGGGTGCGGGGGGGTTGTGGGGGGGGGGGGTTGTGGGGGGGGTGCGGGGGGGGTGCGGGGGGTTGTGGGGGGGGTGTGCGGGGGGTTGTGGGGGTTGTGGGGGTGGGGGTTGTGGGGGGGTGCGGGGGGGTTGTGCGGGGGGGTTGCGGGGGGTTGTGCGGGGGTTGTGGGGGGGTTGGGGGGTTGTGCGGGGGGGTTGTGGGGTTGTGCGGGGGGGTTGTGGGGGGGGGCGGGGGGGTGAGGAAGCGGGGCGGTGAGCTTGAGTGCTAGGCTGCTGCCACCTAGGGGCCGAGGGGGCGCAGGCGCAGCCCCGCAGCACAGCAGTGCACTCTGACCCTGGGCTGCCGGTCACGTGACCAGGCTGCCTGCACGGCCCGGCCCAGGCTGAGCCAGAGACGGCCCCCGACAGCCTGAATCCACCGGCATCCTCCCCGCTGCTGCCACCGGGCCGCCCGGGGCCGGCCGGCCAGCCCCCGGGCCCTCTCCGGGCCCCGCCCGCATGCCAGGCAATATGAACAGGCTCTCCCACCTGAGTCCCGGCCTGGAGCCGGCCCTGATGGAGGATCCGGACCAGGCCAACGGCAAGGAGGAAGTAGGTCCTTGTTTACCTGCCCGGGGGGCCGGGGGGCCGGGGGCCGGCGGGCACTGCCGCTGAGGCCGCGCGAGTGAGTGCCTCCGGTTTAGTTCTCACTTCCTCTCTTTCTGTTTTTCTCTCTCTCTCTCTCTCTCCAGACGTTTTTGCGAGTGCGGTCCAACAGGCAGGCGAGGCTGAATGGTAAGCACCTGTTCGTTCAACACGCACACGCACACGCGCGCACACGCGCGCACACACGCCCCGTCCTGGGGTGGGGGGAGGGGGTTATAGTGGGGAAAATTGAAGCAGTGTCTCCTGAAGTATGTTTCGCCCACAAATACACAGTCCGGTGAGAGGCGCTTTGAGCCGTCTCGGACACGTGATATGGCGCTGTATCGATCGCAAGGATCGTTATTCTTTATTAAAATGCCCGAATTCACTCTGCGCCGCTCTGTGCTTCCGCAGCGCTCTTCCCCCCTCTCAGTGTCCGATTACCCAAACTTTTTTCCGGATGTTTTGAAATTCAGGGAGGAAATGGTTTAGTATTTCAACGGTGCGTAGACTCACCAGGTCCAGGCAATGGAGTCCTGTAGCTCAGTGGTTAGAGCGCTCGCCTCGCAAGCGAGAGGCCTGGGTTTGATTCCCGACTGGTCAGGGAGAAACATTGGGCAACTTTCCTTACTCCACACGCCTAATAATAATCCCTCAAGAAAAAAAATAATAATTTTGATAATAATCAATCCACGAGTGTTTGTGGGGACGCTGCTGTGCGCAATTGGCTGCCCGTTTCACCCACAAAGTATACAGTCCACTTTACGGTATATCCTGTGAAGCGCTTTGAGACGCCTCGAAGATGTGAAAAGGCGCTGTATGAAATGCGAGGATTATTATTATTATTTATCGATATTGCAACATTTTCAGAGCTACAGTCCCAATGTTTACAAACTGGTGGTGATTGTTTTCAATCCTTTCAATCCTACACAATATCTCTGCATTTATTTTAAGAAACACATGCCTACTGACTCAACTGCGGATTCCATTATTGATTGACAAAAGTGCAGATATCGTGCCATAATTGATGATCCTTCACAGAGAATGACTGCATGAATACCACAATTGCTGTGGCTGTCAGCATCTAGTTTGCCACAAACTCCCAAACTTGAATGAATGCCAAGAACTTCACAAACTGTACGCTTCCTAAAACGAAAGCCACTGCCATCCTGAAATGATGTCAAGATTGTGGCCGCTGCGCTAGACCATATCCCGTAGTCAATACAACAATAACCTGCACTTATACAGCGCCCTCCACGCAGGGTAGCGTCTCAGAGCGCTCAACAGTGGCGGAGCCTGACTCCGAGCCGGGTGCGGGGTGGGGGAGGTGGCCATAAGCACGGTTGAACAGGAGGGTCTTCAGCGGGAGTTGAAAAGGGGAGAGAGGGGTCAAGGCAGAGGGATTGAGGGAGAGTGTTCTAGAGTCTCGGGGTGTAGTGACTGGAAGTGCGACCTCCGATGGTGGGGCGGTGGGTACGAGGGACGAGCAGGAGCTGGTGCCAGTCGAGTGGAGGCGCCGGGTGGTGGATTGGGGGAGTGGGGGGGTCGGGGAGGGAGGAGCCAGGGAGTGAAGGGATTTGAACAGTGTGAGGATCTTGAAGTCAAGATCCAAATATTACAGAAATTATTCTTTATTTCTTGTGCTACAGACATCTTTATGAACCCATTAAGGCAATGTTACCAACCGCAGCACTGTGTAGGATTTTAATCTTTTTGCAATATTATTTAAAAAAAGATGCTTTCACTAAAGTAGAGAAGTTTAATGCATAGACGATTGATAGCAGCGGGTCAACTGCATCTTGAATCACTTCAGAAACCCCAGTAATGGTCACAGATCCTGGTGAGTAGCTGATCCTTCAGATGAAAAACAATTAGATTTGGGCTCTCCAGCTTTGAAAGGAGATTTCTCAGAAGGAGCCTTATAGACGTCTATAGGATTTTGAATGGGGGTTCAGAAGGTAAACCCAAAACAATACTCTCAGATGCGACAAGACAGCAGAACCAGAGCGCATAGATTCAAGGTAGAAAAGGGCAGTCTCAGGACAGACACTGGGAAGTATTTCTTTACCAAGAGTGTAATTTTAACAATTGGAATGGATTTCCAGGAAGGGTTGGTGTGGCCAGGCCACTGGACCCATTTAAGAAGCAGCTTGTTGCTATGATGGGAGGACAGTAGTTTGGGTGTTCTGGAATGATGAGCTCAAATGGTCAAAGGATCTTCTTCATCTGTACCAACCATCTCCGTGACTGGGAAGATCTTGTGTTTGATCCCCGGTCTCTGGTGAGGTAGCTGATCACAGTTGAGGCATCACTAGGGATTTGAATTGGTCTCGGTACCAGGGAGAGATTAGCTGTTGATCTCACCTCAGGAGTCATGATGTTATAAACTGTGAGAAGAAAGCTAGAACCGTTACTGTGCTATTCTGCCTTTTATACCCTCTTGCTGTTGAAGTAAAGGGGGTCGTGGAACAGCTCATCTGATAATCGGTACTCAAGCATTAACCAATGATACAATTGCAGTAGGTTTACAAGTCCCAACCTGTGGATTACTCAGGAATATTGGTTTATGTTATAAAGTACTAATTTCAGACATCTTTTTACCTGTTCACCTCCCCGCCCGGCACCCACTTTCAGAATTTAAAAAATCCTACATTTTCAAACTTCCTAGATGTTTGGAGCAGAGCACAGTAAATATTTGGGTGTCTATGCATTCATAGGTCCATAGGATCAGTCAGACTCATACACTGATTTGTCCTAATTGCAGGCCTGTTAATACTCGAATTCAGCAGGATAGATAGGGAGGTAATTTGTTGTTGGGGTGGGTTATGTGCTGCTCTTATCCAACAGGAGAGGACAGAACGGTAGTTCTCTCATATAGTGCACACGACTGAGAAAACAGTGACTCAGCTGGGAGCATCAATCTGAAAGAGTTTGCTTCAAATTATTGATAGCTGGAGTGTGGTTAGAATGGTTTGACTTTGGGCAGTTGAGTTTAATTAGTGGTAAAATGAGCATTACAGAATGTCCGAAGTGCCTGTGTACCATATTGCTTTGAATACAAAGTGTATATTATCCTAAATTACCGCTTCAAAACTTATTGTGTATTTGTAAGACAATGGGGCAAGAGCAAGAAGGATTCCAGAGTGCTGTGCCTTGTTATGAGGAGAAGTTCACAGAGCTAAACGTTTCAGATTTGGAAGAAGGTAGATGATGAAGTGTAGATGCAAGAAGGCATTTTGACTTTGGCCCATGAGAGTAGAACAAGAGGGCACAGGTTTAAAATAAATCAGCCTCCAGCAGGATGAGCTTGATGGTCTTGTTTAATGTTCTCATATGTTCTCATGATTCGTCTTGTCTTGAGGTCTGTCCAATGCAAGTAAGATTCTCGCAAATCCATCCCAGATACGGGAGAAGTATTCAAGTCATATACACACTTGGGCTTTATGAAAAGTTAAGCGTTATTGAAGAAAACATACATTTTGAAAGAGGAAACCAGAAGTCAGAGTGGTCAGTGATCTGTCAGTCTTATTCATGTTAGTGAGATGTCTTGTTGGGACGAGAATAACATTTTAATGCCTTGCAAAACAGGTTTTCAGGAGTGACCCTCTCAGCTGCAGGTGACATGGGCTGGACAAAAACTGGAGACGTTTATACCTGCTTTAAAAAGGGAGAAAGAATTTCCAGACGCTTTTTAACTTGCCACGATTTGGCTCACACTGATCACATTTTGCGATTATCATGGCCTGTGAGGTTGAACAGGGGCAACCTTCGTGCTGTATATATGTCGATAGACAAGACCCTGTCTGCATCTTGTCATTGCTTTGGGTTTGCATCAATAACAGGTTTCCTAATTAACCACAAAGAGCATTCCAGTTTGGGCAGATGTCCACTGAGAATAATGGATACTCTAAATAGCAGAATGCTCTCAAACCTGCAGTACCATTGTCCTCTGTTAATAGAGCTAGCTCTCGGTGTAAATGTTATCTAAAGTACATAGGGATATGTTTCACAGTATTGGGGGAGTCCTGTGAGTGGTGATGGGATAGGTGTAACATTACAGATGAGAAACCCAGTTCTACAATAATGGTACAGCTCTTGTAAACCATTTGAAACCACATACAGGGCAGCAAAGCTCTGATGTTGTCTTACCGCACTTGTAACACACTTCTGCCCTTGCTTTTGTTTGGAGATGGAGAGTGCAAAGGAGTTGGAAGGCTCCAACTGCAATGTCCCTGAACAGTGGGGTGTAGAACTTTCAGTGACTGCATCATTCCAGTTGTGTGATGTGAATTATAACAACTCCCCTTTAGAATTGATCTGCAGCCAACCTACAATGAGGGTTCCAGGTTAAAGAACACAAATTTCACCGTTAAGTCAAAATATTGCAAAAAATTCTAATGATTTTAATTTTTAATCTTTGTTCAAGTGGTGAAATCATCACAGAAATGGTTTATTGGGAGAGTTCCTGAGCCTGACATCAGCAGAGATACAGATGTTAACTTGAGATGTCTCGGCAATAGTTTGTTTCCCATTAATTTGACTCTTAGATTATCAGTTCTTTCTCGGCAACTTTCTCAATTGTGTAAAACATGTCAATTGACCATGAAACTCCTTTCATGGTCAATTGACATGTTTTACACAATCCTTATTATTGTTATTATTATAATTATAATTGACACTTAAGTAAAACACTGACGATTGCTTGCTTTGTTCCTCTCCCAGATTCTGCAAAACAGCAGCATTAAAAATAAAAATACAACCATGTCTTGTGTCTAATCTACACAGAGATGAGTTATATAGAGGTGTGACATTTTCTCTAGGTTGATTTGATGGTCGTAAACCATTTGAGCCTTGCTGTCTTAGTTCAGGACATTAACCGAGTCCTGGTAATTGATTTTCCATTTTTAAACGCTTATTATTAAACAAGAATACACTGTACTTGATGGAGCCGAAAACCTAATGAAGCTCTTTTGCTTTTAATGTTTAGTTAATTACATCTACAGACCTCGGTTTGCAAGTAAACCCCTTGCAAGTGCTGCACGTTTAAGCACCTGTGTGACTTGGCACTGCAATGTGCAGTTTGTAGTTGGTCTTGTCAGATATACAGAGTTAAGTACCCTCACTCGTTCCAAGGAGATTAGCAGATGAAA